TTTTTTTTTGTTTCTTCCAAAAACTGAAATATTTGAAATACTGATATAAAATTATAGATCAATTTAAGTGCATGTTTTTGGGAACCACATGTTATGTACTGCATGAATACAACACCTCTTACTATTTGTTGATTTGGCAGTAACGTGTTCTCTGGTAGACCCACTGACCTGCAAAATCGATTTGATTAGACTTCTTTCATGAAGATCCAACAAAAAGAGGTCCTTAGCTTATTGGTCTGAAAAGTTAGAACAGATGACTACTGAGCTACATTTTCATACATTTACAAAATTGAATGATTTCACGGTTTTTTCAGAATTTTTATCAATATTTTAAAGTTGCCATCCCTAAATGTTCGTAAATGATTGTTTCTATCATATTTCTGCATACTGTAAAATCGGGACAAATTTTCGAGGTTTGAGAAAAAATTGATATGTGGTGATTTGTTTTCGTGTTTGGAGAAGTGTTGAGTATTAATGCATATTGAATTTTACATTTCGTGGTGATCATGAATTCGTGGGTCTCTACATACCTCAAAACAACAAAAATTAGCACACCACGAAAATCAGTGATTTCACAGTACTTTGTATACAGATTTTCGAAACTTTTAAATTCTCCCCCAGAAACTTAATACTGGTATATGCCACTGAAAATTTCTTGTATATCTGCCTATTTGGGTGACACGTCAATTCCACATTCTATTGTAATATATTTATTCCATTTAATTGAATAACTTTTTCAATATTTGACTTAGGAAACATTTCGCAATTCTCAAAAATGCCAGTCTGATTAAAATTCAGATCTCTGCGCTTTGCGATATGTAGAGGTCTGTATTTTAATCAGATTGCAAAAATGCTAGATATACTCGTAATTATCAGTTACATTTTAAAATGAATGACATAACAATCAACCTGGCTTTTCGAATTTAATGCACATATTGTTAACCCGAAAACAACAAAATTAATATGAAGCACATTCAAAGAGAAAAGTGTCTAAAACATAACAATTAAATCATACGGAATTAATTCAAAAACAAAACCTGACATAACAATAATGAAAATGTAATACATGTATAATCAAGACAATCTGTTAAATTGCACACTTCACATTAATGCAATTATTCAAATTTAAAAAAAAAAACATAAAATTTTGCTTATATTGTTACATGATAGTGATCAATATAAATGTTGCATATTCTAAAACCCATTCCTTTCTCAGGACATTGCAATTTTGAAAAAAAAAGAAAAGAAAACAGAACTCAACCAACTATCTGCAATTTTCCAGCCATGAAATCATTCAGACAAAAAAAAAAGACAGAAAAGTGAAAAAGAGGTTATATTTATAATTATTGATGTTCTGTAACATTATGTACTGAAGACATAACTTATAATCACCGAGAGTAATCATTTTCCCTGAATTAAAAATAATTCTTCAAAATGTGGTAAATGGTCTTTCTAGTGGTTGCCTCCGCAGAATAGTTTTCACTCCAAAAACATTAATGCTACAAAAACTACCAGTCAGCGACACTTCAGTTGATTTTTCCAGAATTTTCTAAAAATGAAACAAAAGCGCTTATACATGTAAATAGATAATAAGTACAACAACCTTTATGCATTTTAAATCTGAACCATATTTGATTGATTATTTATAAAACCCGTGAGTTACATTTATAATTATATTTTTATTGTATTGAATGCCTTGACTTCTTGTTTTGCATTATTTGATATTCTACGATTAGAAGATAAATTTATCTTCTAATCGTAAAGACTAAGAATAATATGTTTATACCGATTTGAAATTAACATATTTTGGTATTCTCTTTGGTTTATCAGGATTAAAAATATTTGCCCTATTTTTTTTATTCATGGAGTTCAAAATAGAAAACCAAATTGACAGCAACCATGAAGACGATCTTCATAATACCCAGAAACAGCCTGGCTCTCATCCAGAATTGACTTTTGGGCTGGACCACAGATAACTCTCACTGTCGTCAGCACGTTAAGTACAGTTGTGGATGTTACAAGAAATATGGCAGGTATTTCGTAAATGAAAGAAACAGCTTGGCCTACTCCATAGGGTTGTATAAAATTGTTCAAAAGTAGCACCAAGTACTTGGGTATAACAAGCCCATAGAGCTTAAATTCGAGGTTGGAACTGTAATACAGATTTTTCTCCACGGTTCTAACTCTTAAGTTCAGTCGGTGAAGAGATGAGTCCATGACGGAAGGTCATGTGTTCGAATCACGTCTGTAAGTCGATAAAATATAGGCAGCAGGAGAACTTAAAAACCGGGACCCCGTGTCGCGAAAGGCGTTGGCACGATAAAGGACCTGGCCTTACTGCTCAATGGCTCTAAGTGTCATGGTCGAAATTAAAGCCCTTCACCGGTAAATGGTGACGTATCTATACGTATAAGTAAAACATATTGAGAAGGGTGGTAAAAAAATCAATCAATCCACGTTTCTACAATTTGAACCTAATTTGTTAGTAATTCTTCCAGACAGAATTAATGAAAAAAGTAAAGATACCGAACAGAGATCAACCTTATACAAACTACAAACAATATAATTATATTAACAGAGCATACGAGGGCTGTTCAATAAAAAATGTCCTGTCCTGTATAACATACAACACAGATATCATATGACATTAAGCTTGACTATCTGTCATGATTGAATCTTTAATTAATTGATTGATTGATTGTATATTGATTAACGTCCCTCTCGAGAATTTTTCACTCATATGGAGACGTCACTGTATGCCGGTGAAGGGCTTCAAATTTTGACCTTTACTCGGCACTCAGGGCCATTAATTGAGCAGTGAGAGATCTTTATCGTGCCAACGCCTGCCGCTGACACAGGGTCTTGGTTTTTAAGGTCTCACCCGAAGAACCCGCAACTTTCACTTCAAACTGAGAGCATGGGGAAGGAACAGTTGCTACCCTTTTTTATCGACTTATCGCGGCCGAGATTCGAACTCATGACCTCCCGATCACGAAGCGAGCGCTCTACCGAGTGAGCTACCGTGAACGGTTTAATTAATTGAAATCAGTTTATGTGACCACTTTTCTTCTCATATTTTCTTTGTGAGAAGCTGGAAAACAAGGGCTATTCGAGACACTGCATTAAAAATGAATGGTAAAGAATCAGTAAACTAGAGCAAAATTAAACGCTTCATTAAATCTTTTTTCAAACTTGTTAAGAATCCCAAAGAAATATTCATTGAATTTTGTGAAATTTACAGCAACCTATGTCTGTTTTATAGACATATGAGCAGGTGGATTTCAATGAACAATAATGATATAATGGGTATCAAAAATGAGTACCGTCCTTGGCGACAAGGACTAACAACAACCAATGTTCTTTTAGCCAAAATTCAATAAATAACCACATGTGATGTTTGATTAACTTTTAAAACACACAGCAAATTTGATAGGCATCAATTTGGGGTAGTTTTCACTATTTTAAAGAAACATTTGACAGTAAAAAAAAGATTTGTACCCAATGATCACTCTATGGTTTGAAAAATGAGGGAATGAGGATGTGTAAGAATATCTAAACAATTATTTTTTTTTAAATAAAAAATTGTAGTTATCCACGTTTGTCTGAAATTCAAACAGATAATGAAACTTGAATCCATTGCTTTATACCTTCAAAGCAAATTTACAATGAGACGCACTTGACAAAAAAAAAAGAAAAGACCTACAAAGACATTTATATATGCCATTTTCTAAAATATTAGTGGTCTTGTTGTTCAAATTCTTATTCATGGAGGCAGTTCAATTTCTGGAGGTGTCTTGAAAGCAATTTTTTGCAAATTATCGAAAGTTTAATGAGAGGAAGGAACCAGATTCAGGAATCCACTACATTTAATTTCGTCATGACAGCGTCCAAACCCACACTCCGTGAAGAGTAAAGGTGTTTGGGGGATAAACAGAAAGTTAATGTTTTGTCACACCAATAATATTTGCTTAGATCTTTCAACCATTGACTTGTTTCATTTTCCAATCTTGAAAAAAAAAACACATTATAGAAAGAAGAAACAAGTCCAGGATATCATAAGAGTATACGAAGGGCTATGCTCAAAAATGAGTTCTAAAAACAATCAGAAATTGGATAAAAATGGTACGGACATGTGTTTTCATTAAAAGAGAATATTTAAGTTAAATCATTAAGACTACATCAATGAAAAGCATCTTTTGCTTTTTTCCGAGCACTGAGGACATTATTTATAGAACAGCACTCGTAAACATGGATCCCGGGAATCCCAGAGGTGGGATCAGGTCACTAGAACAAGTAAGTATCTCTGTTGACTGGTCCCTTCCGCGGTGAACCCTAGCTATGCATCGATCACGTTGATGGAGAAATTCCGTAATTAATTTTTTTTAAAAGTTCAATTGTAGAAAGCAACCCCAAGATGCATATAGGCCTATGGAAAGCAATTAGTGTAGACATATTATGCTTTTTTTATTCTAATGTGAATACGTATTATTGCAAAGTTCAAAATTAATAACAGAATGAGCGTAAATTTAAAAAAAGTTGTACTATGTTTACCATTCTTTAATTTGATAAAATAAAAAAGTACATTTTTACATGATATTATTAGTGTTTACCAAGCAACTTAGAGTAGGCCCTCATCCTCGTTTTCTTCTCGTCTTCTGCAGAAATTCCACAAAGATAGAAAACAGCTCCGAATTCGAAGAATTGATTCACTCCGTAAAATGATGTACAGCCAAGGATCTAAGGCTGCATTCCAAAACACCAATCGCACTGACCATAGTTCTTCAGCCTCATTTGTTGACAGTGCATGTGTTGCATGTAAGAGTACAACGACCTAGATATATATAAAATACATAAGGTATTAGCTGCAATGATGTTGCCCTCTTTGATATTTTCTGGAGAGGGCAACATCCAATTCCACAGCATCTCCGTCATTGTGCAAATATATATTTCTGTTTAAATACGGGCAACTGCAGGCAAAATAAATTGTTTATACTGAAACGAAATTTTTATTTGATATCAACAACATCGTTTGTTAAAGGCGAAAATCAGGTTAAACTAGAGGTATTGTGAGCAATGGGCTCACTATATGATATCCCGCCTCCCATATGGTCATAATGGTAAAGTCCATGTTTTGCTGTGGCCGGGAAACCCAAAATATGTGTCGGATCAAAAAGTAAATTAGGAGGTGCACAATGGCAATATGTAATAAAGATTCTGTGAAAGTTTCATTAAATTTCACTCAGTGGTATAATAGGAGTTGCGGATAAGAGATTGGTACCCCCAAAGCGTGACAGACAGACGGACGGACGGACACACCGATTATTATATATACCCTCCCGCTTTTCAAGCGGGGGTATCATAAATATGCGTGTTTATCAGTCACTCAGTCATTAAAGTTCTATAGCGTGATGTACTGATACTTTCGCTTGAAAATGATAACTGTATAAAGCAAATGTCGATGAATAATAATTACCCTGGTACATGTATCTGGTATGGTATCATTAAACATCCATAAATAATTCCAATTTACGTGATATTTTTTTCGTAAACAGCTAAATTAAAATTCAAGTTCTGATGTTGACATACACGAAAAAAAATTAATGTATGGATTGTTCTGTGTATTTTTGGATCGCTTAATGTCTTGAACAACTATATTTTAGGAGTTCAGGTAAGAAAATTAATAACATTGCCATTTACATTTACTGATAATTTTTGCCGAAATCTGTGCTTGAATTGATCACTTTAGACTTGCAACACTGAGGAGATCCAAAGGAAATCGAGCCCCCCCCCCCCCCCCATGAAAATTTCATTGTATTAGAACAATGGCCATATAATGTTTTAAGATTTTAAACAAGCAAAGCCCGTCTTACCTGCATGATTTTATTCATATTAGAGAAACATCTTATTCTTTTAGATACACGAAAACTGCTGTTTTACCAAAAACAAGATCAACAACTTATGGGTTGAAGTCTTTTAGATAGGAGTCTGCAAAACTTTGGAATTCTTTACCAGAATCTTTTAGAAATATTACTACTTTTAACCAGTTTAAATCCAACACAAATAGTTGGTACGGAAATTGTTGTAATTGCTGTGCCTGTCGCTAATTTTATTTGTAGAAACTAGTAAACAGGGTTTAAGTAATTTTCGGTTTGTCAGTTTTAATGTGGTGAATACTATGGCATTGTAAAGCACCACGGAGGAATAGTGATATTTTAGTAGTGTGATGTAATTTTTAAAACTTTTTCTTGTTAATTTTGTATGATTGTTGTATTTTATGTAACATTATTATGTAGTCGGAAAAAAGCTCTTCAGAGCTAATATTCTTTGTTCATGTACCCGACTTTAAATAAATATTATCTTATCTCTCTTATCTTATGGTTATATCATAGCAAAGTCCATGTTTTGCTGTGGCCGGGAAATATATGTGTCGGGTCAAAAAGTAAAATAGGAGTGCACAATGGCAATATGCAATAAAGATTCTTTGAAAATTTCATTAAATTTCACCCAGTGGTATAAGAGGAGTTGCAGATAAGAGATGGGTCCCCCAAAGCGTAACAGACGGACGTACAGACAGCTAGACGTACAGCTAGACGGACGGACGGACATACCGATTACAGTATATCCTCCCACTTTTCAAGCGCGGGGTATAATTAAAATTATTAGGTAATACTGCAAAATAGGGAAGCCCATTAAAGCCATTTCAGAATTTTATAGATTTTTTATACCCCCCTTCCCCGCTTGAAAAGCGGGAGGATACATAGTAATCGTTATGTCCCTCCGTCCGTCCGACCGTTTGTACGTCCGTCTGTTACGCTTTGGGTAACCCATCTCTTATATTCGCAACTACTCTCATACCACTGAATGAAATTTTATGAAACTTTCACAGAATCTTTATTACATATTTCCATTGTGTACCTCCTATTTTACTTTTTGATCCGACACGTATTTTGGATTCCCATTGCAAAACATGGACACTGCCATTATATTCAGTGGGAGGCGGGGGTATCATTTAGTGAGCTCATTGCTCTCAGTACCTCTAGTTGTTATTGCGTTTCGTTCAAAACGCAATAAGTTTTTCGAGTAAACGCAATATTTATACAGCAGAAATATTGTGTTATTTTAATTCGACGACAATTATTCTAATACCAAGACATGTCTTAAACTGTCTATTAGAACTTTTCGACAAGAAGTCTTTAGTCAGTTGTCTACAAAAACGAAATATTTTATCTTTTGTTATTTTTTCCATCTGAAACACCGTCACGGTAGCTTAGCCGATGCAACGCTCGCCCAGTGTTCGGAAGGTCGTGAGTTCAAATTCCGCCCGCGACTGCCCGAAGTCTTTTTAAAAAAAATAGTAACTGGTCCTTCACCAAATGCTCAGAACCTAGGAGTGGAAGTTGCGGGTCCTTCTTATAGGACCTTAGAAACGGAGACCAGACACTGGCACGATAAAGAACCCTTTGCTCAATGGTCCCGAGTGTCGAGTATAGGTCTAAATTAAAAGCCCTCATCGATATATAGTGATGTCTCTACATGAGTAAAAAAAATCTCTAACGGGACTAAAATAATAATCAATAAATCAATTTATTTTGAAACCATTTCTGAAACCTATCTTTTAAACGACAGATAAAAGAGGAGAAAATTGTTAATTTTTTTGCAATAAAACGCAATAGAAATATTTCTTTCTCTTCTGTAGATAACCTCTATAAATAGATGAAAACTAGAGGTACTGTGAGCAATGAGCTCACTAAATGATACCCCCGCCTCCCATATGAATATAATGGCAGTGACCATGTTTTCCTCTGGAAAATCCAAAATATATATCAGATCAAAAAGTAAAATAGGAGGTGCACAATGGCAATATGTAATGAAGAATCTGTGAAAGTTTGATTAAATTTCCTTTAGTGATATGAGAGGAGTTGCGGATAAGAGATGGGTACCCCAAAGCGTAACAGACGGACGGACGGAAATACCGATTACTATATACCCTCCCACTTTTCAAGCGGGGGGGGGGTTATAAAAACCAATCTCTCACCAGAGGACGTTTTACACTTCGCTCCAACATCCCTGTTATCCTCTAAATTACAAGAATCTTATAAAACAAAAGTAATTGACATATTTTCGCCTAGTTTATGTTTTTTAAAAGACAAATAAAAAAATAATCGGTAGAACTCTTTTTGTCTTATCAAAATCTTGAAATATCTTAAAATAACTTACATGTATACGGAATTATTTTGATTTGGTGTTTAACACTCACTTTCAATTGAAATCAAGAAGACAAAATGATATGATATTTACAACCAGAGAGTTTAAAACACTTTTAGACGTGAACAGAGGTACAAATGAAGCTTGCAAAGCGGACACTCTGCACTGGTGAGAAATTGGGGGGGGGGGGGGGGGGGGGGTGTTATCCCACTGACCAGAAATGGAATCCAAAAAATGATAGACACCACCGTGACCGCTACCAAGAAGACGATAACGTGTACGTCATAGAAACCAGACACCGCCTGGCGCTCAGCCAGAATTGTTTTTTGGGTTGGATCGCGGACAACTCTTCTTGTCGTAAATACGTTAAGTACAGTTGTGGATGCTACAAAAAAGATCCCCAGAATCGAATAAATGAAAGAAATAGCTTGATCTACTCCAGAGGGATTAACAAAGTTAAAGTAACACCAAGTTCCTGGGTACATCAATGCCGTAGAGCTGCTGGATTGCAACTGTATGAAAGAAATCGAATACGCAACGACAATTATGGTGACTCCGAGAATGAAATATTTTTTCTCAAAGGTTCTGCATTGTTGTTCTATGTCGAGTCCAAGATTTTTGTAGCGGCAATAGGACATTGCACAGATTATCATTCCCGATGTCAAATGGGCTCCAACAAGTAGAACAGATGTTAACTGACAAATTGATGTTGTAAAGCACCATTCAAAATTGGATGCGTACCTTTTCATCGCAAAAGGAAACAAAACAATGACACCCAGACAGTCTAATACAGAAAGGAAAGCAAACAGAACGTAAAACGAACGCCATTGATGGTTTTTCCTGTTGCTCCATAGGAGAATGAATGCCAGTATATTTCCAAAAACAGCAAAGAAATCAGCAAGTCCTGCTGGAACCCAAGAAACGTCGATTGTTTCATCATTACACAGCGGATAATCAAAATGTTTTGAAGAATTGTTATAGCTCATTTTTTTACGGTTATGCACTCTATGCAAAAGTATAGGACAAAATTTGCATGTTATGAAGACTAACAATTGTACTCAGCTTTTTATATTTGGACTGGGCGTTCTTTCTGAGATTATTATTTTTAGAAATTCGAACTAATCATTTTTTAAATAATCCCACTTTAGACCAAAAATTCGAACTAATCATTTATAATCACGCGTTAGACATCTGAAACATACATTGTACATTATGATTATTTATTCTGCCCGAAATAAATAAAAATATCAGTGTTAAAATGTACAATATCTTGTTCTTGAAGTATATATGTTATCTTTCCGAGAACTGATACATCTCACAAGTGATATCAGTCATCGCTTCAATAAAATCAGTTACTATACTCGAATTCAGCTGAGATATTACCTGGAAAAAAATGTTAAACACAGACAGAATGTATGCATGTACGACCTTGAATTTTGACCTCAAAAATGACCTCTTACAATAGAAGCAGGGGACAAAAAAGGTCAATTGATCAATTACACATATTTTACCAATATGCACAAAGTACTTGGATAAGCAGTTATGACGTTTGTACATACCTTCCCATTAAGTCGGTGTCGCCCGCGTGGCGCAGTGATTCGAGTGTCTGCTCTAGAGTTGCGAAGTAAGGAGTTGATCCTTATGTCGCGGGTTCGACTCCCACTGTGGGACTTGGAGATCGGTTCTTCGGATGAGACCAATAAACCGAAGCCCCGTGTCGCAGTAAGTCCTGGCACGAAAAAGATCCCTCCCTGCTCAATGGCCCTACGTGCCGAGTACAGGACAAAATTTGCAGCTTTCAACTGGCAGGTGGTGGCTTAAATATTCTCGAAAGAGACTTTAAACAACATACAAACAAACATAAAGTCGGTAAATACTAAGTGATATGTACATGTAAAACAATGTGTCAAATGTTTCATTTAAAAAGAACATACAGTGACTGTAATATTTTGTGAACATTTAAAGAATTTTCTTAAAGTTTAAACTTAACCCGATGTTAATATATACTTGTAAATAGTTTCATCACTGACTGTAAACCTCCTGATACATAACTAACACTACAATCTTCTACTCTCTTTTGAAATATATTCCCTATTTCCTCTAACATGCATGTTCAGATTCCCCATGTGCTATTTCACAAAATTGTATTGCACGTTGAGTCTTTTTTCACTGGGCAAACTTTTAAGAAACCTTAACACTAAATTTGGACATGCGTCTCATTTTTGCACTTTCAAATTTTGAACAAGTTAAAATATGTCTGCTAACTTGTTCTTACTAGTCCCCTACCGGTGAAACCATAGGGGATCCGTAGGTTTTCACTGAGTCTGTCCGTCCGACTGTCTGTCCTATATCGTCTGTCTAGCTGCCTGTCAGTCTGCCCCACTTGGTTTCTGCATTTTTTTTTCTAAACGATTGCAGATATTGATCAGATTTTTGGTACGTGATTGTACCTTGAGTTACAAATCAAGTGTGCATTTCGTTCCGCTTCGCTGTTTTTGACGAAATTATGTCTTTTTTTGATTTTTATTGATATGGTTTTTAAAAGATTCTGTTGCACAAAGTTATCAATACAAACAAAATTGTCATGTTAAAAATTATTGTTTTGATATTCGCTGGGTAGTTTTATAGTGGTTACTTAGATTTTAAGTTTTATCGTTAAAATGATTAATATTATACAGGCACTGAATTTAAGTTAATATGAAATCATTATATAGATAAGTTTTCAAGGTAATACTATACTATTGTTTATTTAATATTTTTGACATTGTGACAAAATAATCCCATTCTATGGGATATATAATTTATTAATAAAAAATTTTTGTGTAAGCATCCTTAGATCTAATGTCTGTTGTCGATAGATTAAAATACAAAATAACTTAAATTTTTGAAGCGATAAAGCACTTATCACGACACCAGTTCCATATTTAAAAGATTGTAATCATGTTTCATTTCCTTCTTTTTTAAGCACCGTGTAATCTACAGACTGGAGTGGAGTTATGGAGTGGAATTTAGAGTCAAATTCTCCAATCAGTTTTACTTTTCATTCAAGAAGAAACTTCACATCTACATAGTCCCTGAACTGCCTATTGTATGTTTTCTCTATCAACCAACGTTCTCTTACAGAGCTTTCACTATCAATTAGAAAAGGTCGTGAGTTCGAATCTCGGCCGCGACTGACCTAAGTCGATAGGAAATGAGTAGCAACTGTTGCGTGTCCTTGGGACGAGATCTTAAGACACGGTCCTGTATCACGTTCGGCATTAGCAAAATATAGATCCCTCACTGCTAATTGGCCTGAGTGCCGAGTAAAGGTCAAAATTTGAAATCCTTCACCGGTATATATGATGACATGAGTGAAAAATTCTCGAATGAGAATATAATACATACAAAATACTCTTCATAACTACATGTCGCCCACGTGGCGCAGTGGTAAGAGCGTCCGCTTACAGTCGCGAAGTAATAAGGAATTTGATCCTAACGTCACGGGTTCGAATCCCGTGAGACTACTGTGAGAAATGGAGACCGGTTCTTCGGATGAGACCGTAAAAACCGAGGTACCGTGTCGCAGTATGTTCTGGCACGAAAAAGATCCCTCTTTGCTCAATGACCCTGACTGCCGAGTATAGGACTTGGTTAAATTTTGCAGCTTTCCACTGGCAAGTCGTGGCCTCTTCATATTAGTGAAAAATTAGGGATGACGCCTGACTGTCGAAGTAAAATTTCAATTCGCATTAGTTTACTTCGCATTAGCTGTCGTGTGAACGCAATTTAATTCGCATTAGTTTGATTCGCATTAGTTTACTTTGCATTAATTTACTGCGTATAAAACTTGTCGTGTGAACAGGGCATTAAGCAACATACAATCAATCAATCTTAACACCACTCTAATTTTAAGCCTCCAGTCCATGAATAACACAGTGCCTTTTTAAGTAAACATGCAATATTTACACAAGAGGCGTTTTAAATATTATCTTTAAACTTCTTGTCATAGAAAATAATGAAGTTTAAAATTACATATCAAGATCTGAAAAAAGCTTTCCCAAACTATATCATATGACTAGTTTAGTCTGCCCCTGTCGTACAAAAGAGACTGTATTGTTATTTATCAGACAGGCAAGGTCAGGTAAGGATGTTCTCCAAAACAAATTTTTTTTTAGATTAATACACACTTTGTAAGTAGACTCTCTATATCCTTCAAAGATAACGAGTGAATTTTATCTTTTTATTAAGTAACGAAAATGTCAATGAAGTACTTGAGTATTTATATGTGATCGGTATATAAATGCTATGAAAGTTGGTTAACTAAGTTGGTAAATCTTAACGTGGTGCCAAGTGTCAGAAGCGAAGGGAAAACTTTAACAACAAATTGAGTGCATGATTAAACTCTCCGTGTTCCACGACTCTATTGTGTATCTTGTTATTTTGATCAAAATGATTATTCTACCCCGACTGATTCAATTTTCTACAAGAACATAAGCGACCAGTTCAGTCAAGAAATCCCCCTGGAATTCCCCCCGAGACTCCTACGGACGAATATAAGGTGGATCCATATGACCGAATAAGCAAGATGGTAGAATACCTTTGACGTCTGAGGTTAGTGTGCGAGGTTCGATATTACAGTCGGTAAAGCGCTCACTTTGTTTTTGAGAGGTTGTGAGTTTGAATCTCGGCCTCAACTGACCTACGTCGATAGAAAAAAGGGTAGTAACCGCTCCTTCGCCATGCGCTCAGCACTTTGAAGTCGCGGGTCCTTCGGATGAAACCTTAAAAAGTTAAAAACCAAGGCCCCATGTCAAAGCAGGTGTTGGCACGATAAAGACTTTTACGAGAAGCACTGACTTCTACACTTGACGCTAAAAATACTTGGACATTTAAAGTGGCAATACTGTTGCAAATCGAATGCTTTTTCATTCAAATTTACCCGATATATCATTCAGGAATAAGGTAAAAAGTTGAAGTAAGCATTTTGAGAAAAATAAATAGTCTCTCCTCGAAAAAATTAACGTAATTAGAATCTGCCGGAAAATCAAGGGTCGTACAACTTACATTTGTTTACTTGTACCACGTGATTTCTAAAATGGCACGTGCATATAGTAGGGTTTACAATTATAAGGGAATATTTACATCCACTGAATATTTTCTTCTTTATTTCTTAAGAAAACCCATTGCGTTCATCACTGCATGAACTACATTAGGCATATCACCTGTACAGATTTCTTAAACAGTGGCCGTTCCATCAATAAAACGTACAAAGACGTTCGCATCATTAACACAATAATTAATATTTTTAATCCTACTTAAAATGATAATTTAAACAGATATAAATATAAACAATAAAATGTCTTTCTTTGTTTGTTATTACTGGAATGAACGGTCGCAGCTATTGCAGAAAATTGCAATTGCAACAGCTGCTTCCGTTCATTCCAGTAACAACAAACAAAGAAAGCATTTTATTGTTTAAATATTAGTCAAAAGCAACTCTCAGAATCAAAATATCTTAACTCTCCGGTAAATTTATAATAGTTAACATTTTAGTCTGCATTCAGACGAATTTAACATGATTAAGTATATAAATGTTGACGTTTTGTGTATTGGGGTGCTGGAAAGGAAAATCCACCAAATCATACGTCATCGCGGCAAAATGTCAAACAAAATATCTTTCTGCAGTTTTAATACAATTTGCACTTCTAATGGCAATAATTTTTGTATGTCATTTTTATGTGCATTTTAATGTTGAGTTTACACTTATTTTTTATCTTTGAAAGCCATAGAAATACGAGAAATGATTGAATGTATCAACAAACCTGTGTAGGGTAGAACCTTCGCGAGCCCCACATAAATGTCGCCGAGATCCCGTTTCTTCTTCATCCAGTGATTAAATTAATCTCCGAACTAATTGTCAGGAAAGTTGCTTTTTAATTTCAAGCCGTATTTTTGGTTTTGCTTTCGTTTTGGTCGACTTTGTCAATGTATCAGGCCTATACCGGTCTTCCCTCTCTTACCATGCTGTTTTGTTTATGAAAACTATACGCATGCGTGAATAGCATGGAATATGGAACTTCAAACACGTTGCGATGTATATATTTATGGACCATAAATAATTATTAATTTTAATAAAGTAACCAGAATTATTTACTTATGAAATTTATAAATTTCTGAAAGTGTATACATTTATGAGTATGAAAAAAAATTCCAAATCCTATAGGAAAATTTTAGCAAGTCTGTTTTTGAAGAGATGCGCCGTATTGTCACTTTAAACATTATCATTTAGTACGAAGGTACAGAATTGAAAATAGACAAGAAAACATTTCAAGTGGTGATAAGAATGGTGCTAGGGGCACTTGCATGTGAAGATCGGGAGTTGAGGGTAGGTTGGTTATCGTTTTAGTCCAGGACAACTTATATGTGCATTGGAATAACCCGCTATCTTCGTTTAAATAACTGCTGAGCTAAATATTTATATCGTTAAAGAGCTTCCGTACATTTTACTAGTGTCCTCTAAAAAAAATTTAATTTTTCAATTAAAATTTAGTCATATACAAATTTTAATTGAAAAATTCAAATTTTTGTAGAGGATCCTAGTGTTAAAGTAAGCCGTCATCTGTAAAAGTCAGCGGTCGTCGTAAAAGTCCACTACCCTACGTGCCGATTAAAGGTCAAAATTTTAAGTCCTTCAGTGGTGTATGGAGACGTCTCTAAATGAGTAAAAATATTCTAGAATGGGACATAAAACAACACTCAATCGAAAGAAATATTCATTATATCTTGTTCCAATTCTACTGCTATTCCTATTCTACTACAATGTATTCATCACAGTAAAAATTTACCATTTGAAAACATGAATGGAATTGTATTTTAATAAAACCTTTCTTTGACAGATTTAAGAAATTGCTAAAATATCTGAAGGTCTAGCTCCGAATTACATTCACTGTCTAAGTCGACCTCGATGGAGTCAGATCCTGACCATTCAAGTATATATTCAAGTACAGAGGTAAGTAAACTTATCAAAATTCCTTACAAGTCTCAAAATCTTGAGAATACATAACAAATGTATCCAATTATATGAACAGATTAAGATATATATCTATATAAAAACTTGCATAAATGATGAACACGACCTGACTTACCTCACATGCTGGATCTACATTTTCTGGATTGGAAAACCAAATTTATTTTAAAGTGACGAAAATGTTCTTCTTACACCAAACATACATACATGTAGATAGTGATCTTTACATTCAGAATAATAAGAAAAATATCATGAGATTTGTCTTACTTATAAATAACATTCATTGAGGTTAATTTCGTAATCTTTGATTTATGCAATGTATATTACATGTGATTTTTTTCTTGAAGGATGGATGCGATACCAGTTGTCCAAAAGAATGCCTAAGACCGTCTGTCACTGATTGGAAAAGCATTCAAGGTGATCAAAACGCTAACTTTTATATCTTGGCCTTATAGATATAACCGTAGTGAGCATTACAGCAAAACTCGGTTATAACGGAGTCGCTGGGACCCTTGAAATTACATCGCTATATCCGTAATTCGTTATAACCGTGTAAGAAATTCATGAAATATGTATAGCTGGGGATCCTAGATGACTTCGCTATATCCGTCAATTCGCAATATCCGTGTTCGTACGAAGCGAGTTTTACTGTAATTCTTTCTTAAGGTCCCACACAACCCGGAATTAATGATTTTTTTTTAAATCTAGTGCTTGCATTATTTCCCCGCCTCAGTAAAGAAATTACAGCGAATTCCAGATTTCTTTAATGCACAGTGCTTAATTAATGCCATCGCCGCGGTGAAGCCCACAGGGATCATTTCATTCTAAATTTAGATACCCCCTCCACCCTCCCCGTTTAGAAATCAACCTCCGTGCTCTTTCTAACTAAAACACTTGCATTCTAATTTATAAATGATAAGCTTTTCCTAAAAAGATTTTTAGAAAATATAGGTTATAAAATCTGTACAATTATTCTACCCTTCCCAAGCACATTTTTTTTTCTGTGATGAATTAAATTGATAGTATACATATCATGGGTTTCTTTTAGTTTTGAATATGCGTGATTGTTTGCCGCGGTATAAATATCACCAGTGGCTTTTTGAATGGTGTTTGCATGGAATGGAGATGATAGAGGGATTCGAAGTACCATTCTTCATGAGACCAGTTGTAATAGTTGGTGGAGATTTGAATGAAGACAACAGTTTACTTTTAGGCCGGGATCATGAAAAGGGGGATAAAATCCTCTCTTGGTTTAACAGAGGTAAAAAAAATAATAAATTTCATTTATGAATACACTAAAACTTAACTTTTTTAGTTTCATTATCTTTTTATGGAATAAAACAAGATTGAAAAACCACGGAAAAACGTAGAATTTAGATCCATTTTTTCAGTTGTCAATTTATATGGCATTAATGGTTGAAAATTGTTAAAATTTTAATTGACTTCAGAATTTAAAAAAATTCTATCTTGGAACAAAAACATTTTAAAAAGTTAGTAAATGTATGAAAAGTAATTTGATCATGTCAGTTATAAGTTGCAAAAATATTTCAAAATTTTACTAGGTATGGTTGTTGATGCAGATTTAGTCATTGTCTACTTCATAAAAAAAGAAGACATGAATAAAACAGCGAACCTTCTTGCGTTTGTCAATGAGGTATTTATTTTCAATGTTTTAAAATTATCAAAACTTGCATCTTCATTTACTCCCTGAACTGAAATTTATATTTAGATAGTGGATTATAAACGTCAAATCATTATAAACTTCATATTATTGAAACCTGACCCTCGTGGTAGCTCACACGGTAGAGCGCTCAATCCTTTCATTTTATTCATTTAACCATTATTTGTAAAATTATATTTGTTCTCTCTCCTTTTCTCTATAGATATCCCAGTTATTGCAATACAAAGAAGCTCAGCTACTTTTCGTCGGACAGCTCAACAAAAAATCGGATTCCAAAAATATTAAAGATATTTTGAATATAATACACAAAACAGTAAGATTAAGAATTCCCAAGGCGGACTTCATTGCAAAAAGTGGCTTGGAAATTAAAGAACATATAACACTAGCACTAGAATTCATCTTGGAGCGATGTCTAAGAGCTTTGGAAATCCAGATAAGTGCTTTGCCATCGACAAAGGAAGGCGCTGAAGAAAGCTTGGAGGAGATTAGAACTGTACTCGAAAGATTTAGAAAAGCACGATGTTTTCCCGAACAAAACAACATTGAAGAAAAGAATGATAAAGAAATAGTGACAAAAATGGTCGATCGGTACGTCTTTTCTGTCACATTTAGTATTTCTTCATAATAATAATATTTGTCATTATTCTCATAAGGTGGTAAATATCGTTTTATATTGACCAAATAAAATTCTAACAACTTTTCAACTTAACATCTTACAACTACCTAAAAGTCTGTAATTGGTGAATCAAATAAAGAAACTTAATCCATGTATTTGATTGATGATTTAAAATATTTTCAGTTATCGAGAAAAGATTCTTTATCGGGGATTTAGTAAGAAAGGAGTTCGAATCATTACAACAGATGAAAATGTTAAAAATGAATTGATACAAAAATTTTCCGAATTTCGAAATTTGGTGGTAGATGTTACAGTTGAAACAGATTTGGACATGACGCCATTTGCCGGTACTGGTGAACCTTTACACGGTGCAAAATTTGTATACAGAGAGCAAAGCGCTGATTCGTTCATGTTTGACAACGATTATTCAACAACGGGTAGTTTGCTTAAGATAAACGGCTCGGAAATGGCTGCATTAACATGCCTACATGCTTTTCGCCGACGAGAAAATCAAAATGTCTTCGTCAGCATAAATGATTCAGTAATACAGTTGGGCAGAAATATGTTTGATCATCCTCAAGAGTTGAGAAGTATTCACGACGACATTGCCCTCATTGAGGTAACCAGATCGGCTATTCCTCTCATCGAAGCCAACTGTGAGAGGTTATTACTTGACGAACAAGATATGCCTTCTCCTTCTGACATATCTTGCAGAAGAATAGAGGAAATTGTGGGTGAAATTGTTCACAAAAGGGGGGCAAGCACAGGGCTAACAACGGGAACTGTTGTTGAAGCAGGTGAAATTCGTCTCCGGGATTTTCAAGAGCTAGCGACGGTAATCATTGTTAAACCTACTAGACGCAGAAGGAATCAGATCCAGTTATTTGCAGCTCCGGGAGATTCGGGTTCTCTTTTATTCCAGCATTCCCTGTCACTGGAAAATAAGTTGGATGTCCTCGGAATGGTATATGGAAGAGCTCCAATTGCTCCCTTTCCAGATCCAGCCACTGTGATGTGCATACCTTTAAAAGATTCAGTAGACCGACTGATGCAAAGAAACCCTGAGCTGACTGAAATTGACTTTTACAAACAATGATATTGATGACAGAAATGCAAAAAAAATATTTTGTCTGCCAAACTTTGGCCTATCATCCAAGCAAAGCAGTAATTACTTCTTGTCAGTTATTGCTGTGGAAAAAATGGTATACATAATTTGTGAATAGTAATAAGAAATTTATATTTTCTAATAGGTATTGAGATGATAAAGAACTTGTAAACACCTTTCATTAAGGAATTATTACGTTGAATGTCATACACTCCAAATTGACACTGTCATGAATTTCTACCACAAGGTTATTTACCAAACATCACTGGCCTGACTAATATAATTATTTACACATTATTGATTTCAAAACACAGCGTATGCTGCCTTTCGATTTGAATAATACAAAGCTATCATGCTTGCATTCAATTACCTATTATTACATTTAAACACATATGCATATATGTACATTTTATTTACATATTTATTCTGAGAATTGAATTTGCTTTATATATGAAAATATACAGTATGTAAATATGTTTTTGTAGAATATATTGCTTTTGCGTGATCAGCTGATTTCAATTTTTTTTTTTTTTTTTTTTTTTTTTTTGGACGGTTCAAGAAAGAAGTCAGAAATTCTTTTTCTATGTGTCATCAATCATTTAAAATACTCAACTTGTATGTCATTATATGTGAAACAGAAGACAATCACTTACCATGGGACAAGTGTAAATGAACAAACAGAGAGGTGCAACAAACAATGAATAAAACGATAAAAGCAGCTTGATTGAAATATGTGTGGGGAAAAAGATACAAACGAAAATATAACAGTTCTAAGTTTGTTTTTTTTAATTAAGGGGAAACATATGCGCATAATTGATAATCGGTGGGCTACAATGCCACATCGAAAGAAGTTACGTTTGTTGCTAGGTCGATTCAATAATATTGTCAGCAAAAATAATCTATCATTAAGTCAGATGCTGAATTAGGTTTTTCATACTGATTGTTAGGCCATTATTTACACACTGAATTGTCGACGGATTTTCCGTTATTTCCCGATCATGCATATGACAAGGAACACACAGCAGGTGTAATCAGTCGGCAGGGGATGCTTACTCCTTCATGTCACTTGATCCCATCTCTGATGTTTTCGGGGTCCGGGTTTGCTCTGCTCCTGGTTTGTATTGATTTAATAGACTTTTGAGCTTGAATGCTGTTCGATCTCTCCATACATTTCATACATACAGAAAATCTTTTTTTTTCAACTTTTATGCATTTACACAATGAAAGTATTCAATTTTTCAATCCAGATTTGTATAGGAATTTAAAAGTGATACATAATATTAACAGCGGTATAAAATTGCAATGGTGCAACATGCTTTGACATAAAAGAAAATGTGAAAAGACGAAACAAAGTAACCCAGCAGTTCACCTTTGCATCGTTTTTTAAAATTCCGATTCAAAGACACAAATGCATGTCTATTTAAACATTGCTCAAGACAGATATATTCAATATTCCTCTCTCCCAGGGAGAGACAGCATTGTTTGTTTACTGGTGTACATTTCCTAGACAAGGAAGTAAGTATAATTTTTCATAAAATTTCTGTCATATGAATTAAATAAATGAGATTAGCCTTGACAATGTTTATATTTTTTGCAGTGTCTTTAAGATTTATATGTTAAACAATTTTCAACAGAAGTAAAAAGAGATAGAGCATGGCATTTATGAATCGTTAGGTTTGTTTTGAATTTACAAAAAAATTGTTATGAGAAAAAGAAAGAGTGTGGATAGTTTGAGTCTGGAATTCTTTTGCAAAATGCTTCAAAAGACAATTAGAACAACTAATAATCAATCCGTTACGTGCTCATACATGTTAATTTATGTATCTATCGTAGCGTTATAAGTATTTTATCTTGAAGTGTTATATGCACTAATTGCTGAATCGATTTATTCCAAAAAAAAATATATTTATCTCTAAATTTGAAAGTAAAAGAAAATTTTATTTTAAAGAAAAGTTGGTGGTATATTTTGCTACTATGTGAAGTACTTTTTTCTTTGTAGTATCCAAATCTTGGGAAAGGAGGGTCTCAAAGAACAGCAGATAAAATTGATGTTTCGAAACAAATACA